ATTCAGATTATGTTTTTGTTGTTGCTTTCACTGTGGGTGCGACTCCAACGGCGCATACCTTACATAGTTTTCAGTTAAACGTAACTGCCAATTGCGTGATTAATTACCACTCTCCCGTTCATGCAGCTGTCCTCAAGGTCGGAAAAGTTCGAAACGGTTCTCAAGGAGCATATCGGAATGGCCGATGCCCTCAGTGTATGTTTAGTTGTTGCCACATCCATATCTGGACTACCATGCAATGGTAGTGCCTGAGATCCAATTGTGCATCCGGAACCCAGTCCCTCTTTCGGCCACTTTATTATTTATGGATCACCTGATGTTCGTTGCTGCACACAGACTCTACTCACATGCAGTGCTGCTAGAGCGTTTCTATCCTATCCGCGGGCGTAGATTAGCACTGTGCGCTCGCTTGCCTTCTTTAGATGATCTATAAATAGCGGAAACACTTCTGCCAATGTGTATGTCGGTCGCTGCCAGAAACGTGACTCGGCGTACGGTTATATGGACAACGGGGCTTTTTATCACTTCAACGTTTGTGTATGTCCAGTCGTAGAGGTCAGCGTGACCTTGTGTTTTCTGATCGACACTACTTGTGAGTACCAATGCAACACTGTAGAGCACGAAGTGTGGTTTTATTATAATATGTTATAGATTACAGACAGCGTTTCTATAATAGTGTATCCCTTGGCATGTTTTTTGCTCGGTCTGGATACTTCATTTGTGTTCAGGTAGGGAATTGCCGAAGTACTGCCTTCTTTTACGCAACGAAATACGACAATAGATCAGGTTTTAAAATTTACTTAGTTTACACTAGGGAATCGCAGGCTTTCCCGTACCTATTCCTAGTAAATCCATTGTTTCCCGTTTCTTCTGATCTGTGGCTCATTATCGCGTGTCCCCAGTTAGTGATTTGATCTATTCTTGTTACTATTATGCTGTATATGCATTGATGGATGTGGGTGTTGTGTGTCTGGATGTTTGTGATCGTATATAGATTTGTATTCTCCCGGTGTCGAGATTAAATTTAATCTGCATTCTCTTGATTGTACATGCCTGCACAGTCATTGTTTAGAAACAGAGCCCAGTTGATTCGCAAGTGCAGCGACGCCCAGAAAGCCCTTGCTGTTCAGCGGCAGAACACAGCCCGGAGTGCCACAGCAAGCATTGAGGACCCAGGGGCAGCCGAGAATTCTTTGGATGAAGTATGTTTGCGATTTTCGACATGTCGATCACGTATATATTGATTAGAGCGTGCATGGGTCCGTTTTAACATCATTCAGTACGTTCTTGCGGCGTGCGTGCCTTCTTCACGAGGTCAGCGCCTGTGTCTGTGATCAGATCAATGCGAGATCACCCTCACAGATCAGTGGAGACTCTGTATGGCAAGCCTTGCACCGTTTATACCACGATTGAGTCATGTATTGCTTGTTGCAAGTGCATTCGCCAGAACTTACGTATATCCTCGTGCCCCATTTCTATGTCGAATTATACACCTGTTCACACAGTCCTGCACTTTGTAATACGAGATTGCTGATCCAATGTTCTTGCTTATTGTTGTTTACTTTATTCCAATGCCGTTGCCTTCAGTACTAAATTTGATGAATTTTACCTAATCAAACACCGTATATTTCATCCGCATGTATCATAGGCCGAGAAAAAAGCTGTCAATCTCAAACAAGAGTTGGCACATCTATCGACTACAATTAAGAGAGAAGCTGTGCATCTTGACGACGAGCGCGCGACTGATTTGAGCTTGGGTATGCTGGCTTACGCACGAATGCGAGTGGAGATACAACGTCAGATAGTCGATGCCTGGGCTAAGTGTAAAGCCGCAGTCCTTGAAGCAGAGACGGCAACTCCTGAGACACCATCACCTACACCGCTAACATCATAACAATGATCTGTGAATGTAAATAAATATGCATGACCCGTACTCACTATGGTGACTAAGTGGAGAACAAAACGTCGTTGTTTCTGATCGATGTGAAAGAGCGTGCAAGTTTGAGACTCCTCAGCAAATCAGTACCAACAGAACAAATGTCTAGAATAAAATGAAAGCAATTGGGTATGTTTTCTCAATAAATCATAGTTTCGACATTAGTCAATTAATACGTTATTGTGTAATTGAACTAGCGCCGCTCAAGGCCGATGACTACGAGGTGTATTTCAACAAAAAATAGAGGTGTTGTACATGCGCATCAGACCGTGAGTATCAACCATATTTGGAGTAAATCTATACTAATACTCTATCAACATCTAGTTGGAAGGGACAACGTCAGTGCAATATTCGGGCTTTAAACTTTTCTTTTGGGGGGGGGGGGGTGGAGGACTGTATCGACCCCCACGTATGTCTTCCCAAATACCCCGCTCCTCACGTCGATTCCATATCTACTGTGATCCGTGTACTTTAACGAGAATCTATGCTAGCAGCCTCTTTGACACGCCAATCGAAGTTGACGATGCTTCAAGCAACGGATGAACTTCTTGAACATCTTGTCAGTCTACGCGGATCCATTGGTTGCTTGATGGCTTCACTGGTTTGGGTTTTTTCAGTCAATAGGCTTCCAACGTGTATTCATGTCGTTAAACTCTGCAGTTTCTTCGCACAATATAAGCTTGTGCTTCATTGGCTGTGTTCATGTTTCCAGAACAGTATCAGCCTGCTACCAGATTTGGTATGTGTGTTCACGGTGGAGATGAATATCACTTAGTCGCAGCAGAAGGATGCCAAACACTTCGCAGATTCATAGCCATCCATGCCACTGTTTGTGTACCGGCAGCATTCTCTGTCAGGGACAATTCTTCGTCGGAAGCGCAATCACTTTCATTGACCCTATCGCTGCATACACGCCCCTGGCCTGTTGGTCCTTCGTCGCAACAAAACGAGCTGTACAAAGGGTGAAACACACAAGAGTACTTGTCAAAATGAAGTTTTAAAGACTAGTTCGAATTTAAGTGGTAATTGTAAAACAGAATAGTAAAACAGAATAGACGAAAACAGATGAGATGCTTTGATGCTGAGGTCGCATAACTCACCTTCTGCATCGATTGCTTTCATAATTCTCTCCACATCCATCATCTAGGAGACAACACTCGCGATCTCCTGGTGTATGAAAATGGATACAGCACGTGATCAGATTATGAAGTTCGAAAGCATTTTGCCTTGTATCAAGAATTGAGAGAAAAAGGAATTCATTTTCTATTAAAGCCTCTACAGCTCCCACCTATAGGGCATATAAAGTGCCAATATGATTTACTTGAGCATAGAATACATACGACTGATCAGAAGTTACCTGCAAATATCTCATCATCCTCACAATCGATGCCACTCGCAATACCACAAGTCAGCCTATTATCAGAACTACTCGAGGGTGTTCGTGTGGGGGTTGAGGATGGCGTTGGGCTTTTTGAGGGTGTGATTGATGGTGTAGGTGAAGGTGTACGAGAGGGTGTGGGCGTTGAGTGCGTGACGGTGTGCGGGTAGGTGATGGTTTTGCTGTTCGACTGGGGGCCGCTGGTAAGGTTGTACTACTACGTAGAAGGTCTGCCAAACCATCGTCTGTGCTCGTCTGAGTGGGTGCCGTTGGTACGGTCTTACTACTGCGTAGAAGATCTGCCAAAAGATCTTCAGTGCTCGCCTCCGCTGTCGTGGTTGTAGCTGTTACTGTATTCTGTGTTGTGATTGCTGACGGGTCGAGTAAATATAGAAGCGAGTCAGTGTTCGTTGTTTCTGCTGTCGATAGAACTAATATATATTTAGTAAGCAAATCGAGCAGATCGTTCGTAGTCGGATCTGCTGTGTTTTCTTCACCAATGATGTTTCCTACGGGTGCCTCTGTTATTTCTACAAGCAAATCTCGCAGATTATCCGCGGTCGCAGTTTCTAAACTATCTGATTGCAAGTTCGTTGTTTGCGAGGGGCCGACAAGTAGACCAGCGAGTCCATCAGATGGCATACAGGCCACGGCACTAGCGAGAAAAAAAACTCCCTACCAAGTACCTGTATAAATATTGTCGAGAACAAGTGGGTATAGTACAATTCATTATTTCAATGGACATTCAATATCTCTAGTTAGGTGAGTTATAACTTTGTTTTATTCACGAACGACGCGATGTACTTGTGTATCTCTAGGCTACGCTCAACTAACTCTACTAAAAATTCGTTGGGGTTCACAAATTCTGTAGAATAGGTATATTGTACGCTGCATCTCTAGCTAGAAAATTAAACTATCAGTCCCTGTAGTTCTAATAGCATACATCCTGCAGTCGTTCGATGACTATAAAGCCATGCGGAACATATGGTTTACTAAAATTTTGCAGCGATCGTTTACAGTGCACAGCGTGCTGCCACCAGTCAGTGTTTCTCAACGCTGTGAATCTTTATTTCTTTTCAGACTGTCGTCTGTCGGTCGGTGGACATCATGATGAAGCGGTCAGCAACAAAAAAATATCTATGTAAATAAATAAAAAATATGTACAGTAGGAAGTAGCCACAAACTCTTTTTACACCACGGCAATGGCTCTACATTATACAATATTCTGCTGCTTTGGGTCTTTTTGTAAGTTTGTTGCTTGATTTTTGTCAAATTCTTAGGGGTCAAAACAATGTTTTTTGAAAACAAACTCCGTCTATAAATAGTTTTAAGAGTTTTCAGAAGGCTACTATAAATAAAGTGTAGCAAAACAACCGAGAAAACCTAATAAAATATCTCATCCCTGATACTAGAACCCAATTCTATTGGTCCAAAGAAATGCTAATCCGCACCATCACTCAATGAAATACAAGATGCAAAAATTAGGTACAAGGTCGGAGCGACAGACAGCTGGTTGACTGGAAACTCAACTCAAAGTCTCAATGGGATGGCAACCAGAATTGGAAAAGAATTCATCTCAGCATAGAAGACAAAAGTACGTACAAATCGATTCTTTATACACGGGAGCATAGAGAATGTGAAGAAGGAGTCAGTGATGTAAAGTATTTTAGTATTTATGTCGCTCAACAACCCACCAGTAGTTTTTAGACGGACAATTTTACCACACATTTCTACGCAATTGGCTATCGAATTCTGTACTCGCGATTTTGTATATTTATAAGGTTTCCCTGTGAGGTGTTGCATCAGTTTTACATTAACATATTCGAACAGAGATATTAGGTTTTATTTCACAACATGGAACACCTAAAGGCAGGAGCCATGATGGTTCAGAAGAGAAATGGCATCACAGGGAAACACTTATACAAATGGCGATGGTTTGTCCTCACCGCATACTCACTCACACATTTCAGAGGCAAAACCGATGCACAGCACAGATGCAAATCTATTCCCATTGCATCCATCACTAATATTGAGATGATCACAGCATCCGTCACACATCCGCATATGATCCGAATTTCTTATAAGCACGGATTCGACGACTCAATTGTGTAAGTTGCTCTGCAAGGAAGCTGAAAAATTATCCACACACAACTATTAGACATCTTGATTCAAACCTATGTGACAGAGATTTTTTGTATCTTGAAAAGCAATTCATAATGCAATAGGTGTTGTCGTACCCCATGTATTTGATTCTCTGTATTACTGTCCAATCGAGTGAATTTAGGTAAATTCAATCTCTTTGTAGCCCATTTATTATCGTCTCGGTAAACGATACTAGAAAAAAAATATAAATTATTGAATAATGGTCAAAAATTGATGCGTTTCGTCAAAATGTGTAGGTTCTTGTACATGTTTCTGCTGCTGATATTTCGTTCAAATCTCGGTGCAGGTTAGCGATTAGGTCGCTGTCGGAACGTGAAGAATGGCTGGATGCAATACACGAAGTGGCGGCGCAGCGCTTAGTGATTGGTCCTGGTGATCAACTGATCCCGTCAGCACTCGCACGTAAGTTGGGCAGTCAAAGCTACACAGATTTTTTGGAAGATATTGGTATCGGTGGTGGTTCCATGGATGACATTGGCGGTCATGCTGGGACGAAGCAAAACTTTGCACCCGATGTCGATACTCTTTCTGTTATCGAGTCTTCAGAGGGAGAAGGAAGTGAAGACACCGATGAGCTGAGCGCCTCTTTTGGTGGTCTGCCATCATTTTCTGTAATTGACAGTGAAGGATTACTCACACCACATGACAAAGAAAAGCAGGCAGGTATGTCAGACAAATTTCCTTTCAGGTGTACAACCCAGTTATATAGTATTGCAATCGTCAAACTTATTATTGTAAATATTTTGCGCATAGAGTATGGCTTTTCCTCGCGTAGTACGGCTTATTGCTTTTTTTTTATGGTAAAATAATATTTGAGTGTGCGAATGCTAAGCTTCTACTACAAGCAGCACTAACAAATATTTAATAATTGTCACACACGATACAGATGGCAGCGATTCGACTCATGTGAAGAAACGCAAGCCCAACATTAGACAGCCTTCTACTCGATTGTCTACAAATGTGGGACCATCGGGTTCTAATCGAAAGAGTGTATTCGTTGACGACTTAAAGCGATTGACTAACAGCAATGTTCGATTGTCGACATTTGGCGATAATCTGGCATTCTCAAACAATCGTAATTCGCACACATTATTCTCGTTCACTCAGCAGTAGACTATACACTTCTGTGTGTCCGTTGGGAAGTGAAAGCAAACTACTCACCGCGGCAAGAGGGTACCAAATGATATACTATGGATAGTATAATTCCAACAAAGATGACCATGACGAGTACGCTGGTAGTACGTAAATAATAGCATGGCGAACCCACCTTCAATGCGGGGTTCCAAATAACAGTTTGATACATAAAAGGTACACATCCGAGTATTCCTGGCCGCGGTTGCGTTTCGCTATAGCAGATAAAGAATGAGGATGTTTGGCATCATATATTGATCAGTTGGCAGGGCATTATACTGACGATGACAGCGTATAGTAATGCAGAATCACGAGTTATGTCTGGACAGCACAATAATAATCACATCGATTGAACCACAGTATAAAAATGAACCACAAAATATGCAATACCACAGTATAAATAAGCGTAACAAAATATGCACCGCAGTATCATAAAGCCAGAAATAGAGCAATAATAAGCACCGCAGTACGCAGTATAACAGATATGCACAACAGTATAGCAAAGTCAATAATAAAATATAAAACTATAACAAAGTCCATTCGAAACACAAAATATGCACCACAGTATGACAGATATGCTCCACAGTGAAACAAAGTCAAAATGAAGCACAAAATATGCACCACAGTATGACAGATATGCACCACAGTATAACAAAGTCAAAAAGAAACACAAAATATGCACCACAGTATGACAGATATGCACCACAGTATAATAAAGTAAAAAAGAAACACAAAATATGCACCACGGTATGACAGATATGATATGCACCAGGTCAGACATATAGCCAAAATTTCAAACGACCATTCGTTGTATAGCTGTGTCAGTCATGCGCACTTGTGCGATCGTGAAAGCGCGAGAGTAAGATTGGATGAAGGCCCAACATGACGATGACCTAATATGACAGACAAGCTAGAATGCCTTGTGCCGTGCCCGCTCTATCCCAGGAGAAATAGATACCGTATCGATGTGTTGAAACAAAATACTTTCAAGGAACGTATTGTTACTTCCTATTCCCAATAAGTAGAATGTTGGTACCTTATACATAAATTGTTTTTCATGGCGGAAGTCGTAACACACATATGAAATGTGTGTCGTCCGCTACAATTTAGCATCGTTACATTATGGTAACAGCCGTGACACACATAAGGAAGACGAAGTTGTAATTATCATAGACAAGATGTATCCGTGGGATGTTGCTGCTTTTAAATAATTCAGCTATGTCTTACGAGACAGCTAAAAAATCCTACTTATGGCAGTAGTAGTTGGCATTCACACTCGAGAAAGATAATTCTTTACCAGCAATATGCTAGGCGAGAAAGATAAAAATTCAACCGTGATAAGTATCCAAACATAGTGACAAGCTAGGCGAGAATGATTACTGTTAGGATACCTATCACAGATACCCAAACATTGTTGTCCATAGAATGTCATACTACAATTTGCACGTGATGCTACGGTGATTTGAATAGTGATTAAATAGGGATGGCGATATATCGCCCGAATTATTTCTATTGTTTATATATATGATCACACATTTGTACACAGGCGCGACGCTCTAACGTAAGGTACCGCCTGAAACCAAGAATAAGTCTTACCTAGTTGAAATTTTCGAAAGGATTGAAGGGTACTGGGACCGGTGCAACTGCCCCTACATCGTTCTCAACGGACTCAGAAATCATGTCAGTCTCAGTCTCCTCTGCTGTTTCTGTCGCTACATCAGTTACTATATCGGTTTCGCTTACAACATCAGATATTACATCAGTTTCACTTACAACAGCGGTTTCCTGTACTACCTCGGTTTCGCTTACAACA